TGGCTCTTGTATGGAACCTTAAAAAGACAAAAATGGGTCTAAAACCACATATTAATGTAATATGAATGTATATGTATATAACGCGATTTATATTCAATTTAATTTTTAAAACAATTATTGTAATTTATAATCAAGTATGTTCGGTAAGATAGGTGAACTTTAGGCCCTACACGACTCGTGTACTGATTTAACAATGTTCATTTTGTCTTATATATTGGATATTAGGATCCTATATTTTCACGGCAAGATAACACCACCAATATTGAATTGTAATTCGTGCTTTTATGGAAAATATTGATTTAGAGGTTTACCTCCTTTAACTCAATTTCTCGAATTTAATTGAGTAACGCTGGACAAATGGGCATCGTAACAATTTACCGACCAGTCACAAATGAGAAGGGTAGATTAATGCAAGTGTCAACTACTTAAATTAGACAGGCCTCGGCTGCTTAAATTTTATTTCTACGCCCAAAATTGTTGTTTATTTCTGGTTTATATTTTTCAGCGGCATTGAATTAACAGATATTTGTGAGGATGATAAAGACAAATAAACAGTGATATCTAAATATAGAACCACAATGTGTTTTGTTCAATATGCACGCTTATCCCCATTTACTTAAACATACATTATGCAAGAGCTAAATCTGCCTATTGCAGGTCTTTCTTTAGGATTGAAATGTTTTCTAAATTATTAATTATACATTAATTAACTTATCCAGGCCATAATCAACTCTCGATGGCATCGGATATCAGCCATATTTTGATTTAAGCTAAACATGGAGGAGCGAGACTTAGCTTCAAACAACCAGTACGGTGGTTGAAGTTAATTTAACTCTTCTTGTCAAACATTCAAAAGCTAATATCTTCGATCGCAATTGAAATGAAATTTTCAAATTATTCATTTTACATTATCTATTTTCGAACTATTATAGCAAGAATTGCTAGCTCGATATCTAAATCTTACATAATGCATCTTTAAGGAGCCAATCTCGATTATATTTTGGAGGATAAAACTGCTTAATTATGTGTGAAAAGCCCTTAAAATCCTCTATCATAGGGCCGAGCAACTAACTTAATATACGTGATACGTTTTCCGACAACTTAAACCCGTCAGTCTTTATCTGGTAATGTAGACCGGTGTCCCGAACTGTATTATACGGTGTCTAGATTAACCCCGGCTTTTATTTTATAAAAATAACGTGTAGGTGAAATATACCCTTCGTCATCAAGTATAGCACGTTGGCCATACACTGTATAGATCTCTAAAGGAACAGCAATAGATTATCGGGTTACCCAACGAAAAATTTGACCCGAAATCTTAAAAGGGTTACGTGTCCGGATAAGCGGTTTTTGGCGTTCACGTCCATACGACTCAATATTTTGAGCCCATATTTTGTGATAAGGTAAATCCTCTATATTTTGTAGCTTAAATTTTATACGTACTCGGACTTTAATTTCTGAAACTCTGTTAAAATCAGCATGGCCCTGTTAATTAAAGCTATCGAACGTCATTTCATAGATTCTGAATCCCTTGCACACTATAATATTCTTAAGTTAAATCTCTAAAAGGTATTAGCCCGAAATTATTAAATTCCGTTCAGTATTTATAGAGTGATGATTACCTGAACATTTCGTAATATTTAACATCATCTGCAGCCAACGCCACGTCGTCTACAAGTGTTAGGTAACCCTGTTAATGGGAATTTGTTTAAAATTTGTTCTCTTCATTAAATATACATTAAAACAATCAATCTTTCAAGTGTTTGGTGACATCCTCAGGTGGGATGGGCAAAGCTGGGTGAAGTTCAAGGTTAAGGTCGGAAAGGCGCGAGCTTCAACTAGGGGTATCCCCCACCCCACCCCTGTGAGGCAAGAGAGAGAGAAATGGGGTTTACCCCTGTGAGGCAGCATTTCAGACACTGATTGTCGAGATAAATAGATCTAACCAGATACCACTTGTCGCCGGACCACTAGTTTATCCGACCAGAGCGGAAAGTCTCAAACGAACCTCGACGAAGGCCCCACATGAGAGACAAAGTAACGCAGGGGCGGATCCAGAGGGGGGGTTGGGGGTCGACCCCCCCCCCCCACCCCCCGCTCAGCTACATAAATTTTTTGGTAAATCAACACTTTATGAGAAAGGTTTCTCGGCCGTGTGCTTTATCCTTTATCGTCAGATTTGGGACAGTCAAAGCACGAGATAATGATATAGATATTATGTGATATCACAATTAATGCTTTGCATCCATGAAATTGAATCACAGTGTCATTGTATTAATTCATAATAAAAATTGACGTCAAACGAGGTGTTGGATTTCTCTGTTTTAAAAGCTTAATGTGTATGTATATACTCCAAAATGACGATAGAGACCATGCGGGGGGGGGGGGAGATACATTGTCTCAGGAACATGACCCCCCCCCCTGCAAAAATTCCCGGATCCGCCCCTGTAGCGAGCCCTTACGGAGGGTATGGGGGACCTGCACCAGAAAATTTTGAAAATTGACTGCTGGAAATGCAGTCTGACAACAGAGCTTACCAGATACCGCCTATCGCAAAATCACAAGTTCATCCGACCAGAGAGAAAAGTGTCAAATGATCGAACGGAGTGAGTGAATCAAAGTCAATGAATATTTTCGCCACGATATTTTTGAGAAATAGGCTGCCGGAAATGCAGCCTGGCAGTATTTCAGACACTGGTCGTCAAGATTAGCAGAATTGACCACATACTGTCTTTCGAAAAATCACAAGCTTATCCGAACAGAGAGGGGGGTGTCAAACGAACAGAGTGGGTGAATCAAAGTGAATGAATATTCTTGCCGCGGTAAGAAATCTCACTCAGACTCTACAACATGTAAGCCTATGACTGAGTGGGAATTAATCATCGTAGAAGGTATTGATTATCAAAACTTATCACAATATATACTATTAAAAAAAAGTAGGGGATATTTGATTTTGGGGGCATAATACTAAAATATGCAAATGACTACGAAAAAAGTCACTATAGAACCTAACAGAAGAAACATTTCCAGTTACATGTGACGCCCAAACGCACCAATAGCTACCGCATGGAATGCAGGTGATGCTTGGGATCATCATGGGGGTCCAACCCAAGATTTGCACGACTCTGACTTTGAATGTTACAGTCATTGTGGCATTGAATTCCAGGGTGGAAACATCAGTTTAATTGTTTTAGTGACCAGAAAACAAATTTTGATATGCGTCGGCTTACCCAAAATGAAAGGTTACGTGCCCTTGGCATGCTACAGATCGGCACAACCGCGCGGACGATGAATGTTTCTCAGTCTGTCATAAGCAGGCTATGGTCCAGATACCGTGATACACAATCTGTACAGGACAGACCACGCTCAGGTCGACCAAGGGCGACAACTCAAGCCCAGGATCGATTTATCCGTACCTTGGCCTTGAGAAATCGTGTCATCACAGCAAATCAGATCAGCGCTCGTCTTCAAACAGACACTGGTGTGAGAGTGAGTGGCCAGACGATTCGGAATCGACTGCATAGGGGTCACCTTCGCGCCCGACGTCCTCGCGTGATCCCTTGTTTGAGAGATCATCACATTCAGGCAAGACGTCGTTGGTGTAGGGATCGTCAACACTGGGATAATCGACGCTGGAGCAATGTGATGTTTTCAGATGAGTCAAGGTTCACTGTTGATTTTTTAGACAGACGTAGGAGGGTGTGGCGTCGTCGAAACGAGCGCTTCCCAGACGTTAACGTCATCAGACATGATCGATTTGGGGGTGGTTCTGTTATGGTGTGGGGAGGCATCACTGTTGCTGGAAGAACGGCTTTACATGTTGTTGCAGGGCGTGTTACAGGCCAGTACTACCGGGACAACATCTTGTGCCGTTTGCACGACGTCATGGCCGCCGTTTCATCTTCCAGGATGACAACGCAAGATGTCACAGGGCCAGGATCGTTACAGGTTACCTCCAACAACAGAACATCACCACATCACCTTGGCCAGCACTGAGTCCCGACCTCTCCCCCATCGAGCATGTCTGGGACATGCTTGGACAGAGGTTACGTCAACGTCAACAACATCCTGCCAATGTCCAAGAACTTGCTGCTGCGTTGCAACAGGAATGGGACAATCTGGACCAAAATGACCTTAGACGTCTCATTAGGAGTATGCCACGTCGGATCAATGCTTGTTTGGCAAACAGAGGAGGATTTACCCGTTACTGACTTGGTTGTGATGCTGTGGTAACTTTGCTGTTTGACCCCGGGTATCATTTTACCCTTATAATGGTCAGTCTGTGCCTTACTTAGTCTAACGATCATTTGGAATAAATCGATGAATGTGAACTTCATTTCATTTTGTCATTTGTTTCTTCGTCAGTTTCATTAGGTGACTTTAATAACACTTAAAAATCAAATATCCCCTACTTTTTTTGAATAGTATATTTTTTTTTATTTTTTAAATTATTACGAAAGGGGGGGGGGGGGGGAGGGTCGACCCAAATTGGGGGGGGGGGGGGTATTTACCATAGCAACTGGGGATGGGTGATGTTGACAATACCAAGCATGTGAAACTGTCTGAGATGATGCAGAAAACAAGTGCTTGGCAGAGATCAAGGTTCCATAAGTTAAAAAGCGATTTTTCGTACAATCAGGGGCCATAATTCAGGATCTTACGGTACGATATGAGCGAATATCGAAAGGAACAGAGATCTTTGGGTTATAAACATATGTTTCAAGTTTCATTTAAATCAGATATAAATTGTGATCTGTTGTGTCCACAAGCTAAAAACAGGAATTTCGTACAATCAGGGGCCATAATCTATGAAGTTTCAATCCGATACATGCCAATATAGAAAGGAACCAAGATCTTTTGGGGATAAACCTATATTTCAAGTTTTGTCAAAATCGGATAAAAATTGGGACCTGTAGAGTGTCCACAAACAAATTGTGGATGGACGGACGTGGGGGACAGCAATATACATCCACATGAAAATGTTGTCGTATAAAAACAAATTTTATATGTTTAATATTTATTTCAGGCGAACAAAGATAAGATGATAATCATATATACATGTATTTTACATAATAAAGTGATTGCATCGAAATTAAAGCACACACTGCATGTACATGCAATATTTTCAATTCAACAAATCCTAATTCTCATAAAACATACTCACAGTAAGAGTTATAAATATATGATTAAAATGGTACCCCAGTCTTTGATTTGGGTCCAATCTGATTAAAATACAAATCTAAATGTTGTTTCTTTACACTTCAACTGCCTCCATTCTATATACATCTTCTCACTGCTATATAGGTGAAAACACAGAGGTGAACTGACCATAGATTACATGTATGTATATTTAAATTTTGATCTGTTCTCAACTGCTCAGTAGATGACTGCTAGAATTCTGTGCAAAGTCCTACTAAACAGATCATTTCATTACATTGGTTAAAACTTCACAACAGTAATAGGATCTGCGTTTTAATCAGATTGTTCTGGGTGGATCCAAGAGGTTCACTTAACCACTTAACCTTTAAAATTTTTATGAATCTTTCTTTTTTGCTTTATATGATTTTTTTTGTTTTTTGATTTGACCACTTTACTTTATTTGTCTCAAATTTATAGTACTTTGGAATATGTTGCCACCTATAACCAAGTATCAAACAAACACTGAAGCATATAGTGGATCCCATCCTTAGCCTCATTTCAGTCATCTTTTACTAGGCAATGAGTAAAAAATGTCTTGCTGAGAAATTTACCTGTCAGTCAATTTGAATGGCAGAAAAATCAAATAGTTTAATAAATTGCTATTAAAATATACATGTACAATCCAATTTAAAGGTACAATCTTATTTCAATAATTTGTATGCACTTTAGCAGCAGGAAACTAAGAGGATCCAGAGAAAAAAACTCACAAGATTGGGCAGGTGACCCTAGTCCTTGTCGCATACAAGCTTGGGATTAAAACTACTCCACTTGAATCAATAACAGACTTATGATATAAACCCTGCGTCTTAGACTGCTAGACACCCCTGCTCTTCCCAATACAAAAAGATAGGAATTAAATTTTGGAAAAATTATTTGCTAAAAAAAAAATTTGAAACATCAAGGTTAAGAAAATAATTTATAGACTTCACATTCATAACTTCGTCAAACTTCCAACATTATACTATACAATTTCATATTAATTTTCAAAGACACTTCATCAATAACACAACAATACAATGAATGAACACTTAAATCTTTTTTAAAAGATCAATTTCAAAATGTAACTTTCCATGATAAAACTGCAATTGAACATACATGCAGTCAAATTAAAAACATACCAACATTTAATTCCATTATTTTGTTTGGCTGTTTACTCCAAAGATGTTTAGTCAAAAGATATTTACTAGATGTGTTTAGAAATGCTGAGCTTGTGATTGGCTGACTCCAGATCTACCCACCAATCAAATCTTTGATATACAGAAAATACCAGCAATATTTTTGAAAGGCTTTGATTACCCAGACATTTGATTGGTTTTATTGTCATCACAGGACTAGAAATGCTTTTCTTAAACAGGTCTTTTGACATTAATGGAAAGAAAGTCACACCTGTTTTAATTAAAATGACATGCATACAATACACATCACCCAAACTGAACTAGTTTCATGCAAAGTAATCAAGTCCTATGAAAGAAACATCATTATTAAAATATTATCTGTCTTATGATACAAAGCTCAGTGCAATTTGTAATGAATTTACCATCTGTATGTTTTAAATACAACATACTAAATCAGAATATTTGATTATAAATTCCTCAAAAATCTAATTTGATAAGCTTATACATTGTATATCCACTAGCTTATACCACATTTTTTTCCGAAGAAGTTTTTAGATTATCAATTTCACTACACTAAAACCTCCACTATTTGCCTTCATCCATAAAATTTAACCACTTTTATCCATCATGCATATATTTTAAATGTCTCTTCAATATCCAAATAAAAACGCCATTTGAATTATATTTAAACAATTATCCAATGAGAACCTCTGGTTTACTATTTAAAATGTTCAAGTTCCATTACTTTATCCACTCAATCTGCTTTTTCTGTTTTAACCTGTTGTTCAAACAGATCGTGTTTCCATTTACCACGATCAGCCAAATTACGATTTTCTGGAAATAAAACAAAAACACAACAATTTTTAATATTGATTTATCCACACTTTATGTAGAATTTAGTTATTAAAACAGACGCTTTAGGCCAAAACACACAAGAACTTTAGAAATAAACAAGAGCATTATATTTCTTAAATTATTGAAAATTGGTTAAAATCAATATGCTTCATTAAATCTGTTGAATATAATGATTTCAAATCGATAATTAAATAAGTTAGGTTTAGCTTTTGGATCATCAAAAAGGTTTTCCAAATTGATCAAAGGCAACAAGCCAATGTCAACTTGATGCCCCATGTCTCAGTCTCAAAATAAATAGATGACACTCATTAATTACTTGCACATACATGTATATCTTTTTATAAAACATAGAGCGATCACATTGTTTATCATAATGTTTAAGGAACTTAGTCATGATGAAATGAAATTACAAGATGATTACAGATTATAATTTTTCTCATTTGAAGGTTCACAAGGTTCTACAAATTGAAACAAGGGCCTTAACTCTGGAAATATGAACATAAATTTCATACAGATCAGATGATAACTTTTGTCATTTGAACAAGGTTTAAGAAAGTAAAACAAGGGCCATAACTCTAGAAATAAATGACAGAAATTGTTGAAATTCAATATGCTTTATTGTTTCACGATTTTATATAATGCATATAGATTTCATACAGACTGGATGATAACTTTCGTCCTTCGAGCGGTCTGAAGGTTCAACAAAGTAAACAAGGGTCATAACTCAAGAAGAGATTAATGGAAATTGCTGAAATTCAAAATTGTGACTACTAGTACTAGAGAGTCCACAACCTTGGTATATTACATACTTTTACACTATTTGCGTACAACTTACAAGGAGTTGCCATTTTGTCTGGCAGTTTGGGTCAGAAATTCAGACTCAACCCTTATTGATGTGTAACAGTGATATATTTAAACGTTTTTAAAATTGAATACAAATTGTGACCTCTAGTGGGTCCACAAGGTAAAAATGCCATTTTTCGAACAATCAGGGGCCATAATCCAGTTATGTTCAGATATGCGCAATTATGGAAAGGAATCAAGATCTTTGTGATATAAACATAAATATAAAGTTTCATCAAAATCAGATCACAATATTGTGGCCTCTAAAGTGTCCACAACCCTGATATACCATATATTTACACAATTTGTCTGGCAGATTTGGTCCGATTTTAATGAAATTCGAAGTCAACATTCATTATGGTGTAAAGGTGATATATCCAAATGTTTTTTTAAATTGAATAAAAACTGTGACCTCTAGAGTGACCACAAGCCAAAAACACGATTTTTCGTACAATCAAGGGAGATAATTCAGGACAGGAAGTTACGATCCAATATGAATGAATATCGAAAAGGAATCAAGATCTTTGAGTTATAAACATGTATTACAAGTTCCATCGAAATCGGATGAAAATTGTGACCTCTAGAGGGTCCACAACCTTGATATACCATATTTTTTACACTATTTGCATATTACAAGGGCCTGCCATTTTGTCCAGCAGTTTTGGTCCGATTTTCACAAAATTCAAACTCAACCAACAATATAGTGTAACGGTGATATATTCGAACGTTTTTTTAAATCGGATAATAATAATTGTGACTTCTAGAGTGACCACAAGCTAAAAACACGATTTTTCGTATAATCAGGGGTCATAATTCAGGAAGTTACAATCCGATATGCGCGAATATTGAAAGGAACCAAGATATTTGGGTTATAAATATGCATATCAAGTTTCATCAAAATTAGATGAAAATTGTGACCTCTAGAGTGTCCACAAGCTAAAACGTTATGTTATTTTTGTACAATCACAGACCTAAACGTAATTTTTTGTACAATCAGGGGCCATAATCCATGAAGTTATGGTCCAATACATGCCAATATTGAAAACATCCGAGATCTTTGAGAGATAGACCTGTATTTAAAGTTTTGTCAAAATCTGATAAAAATTGTGACCTGTAGAGTGTCCACAAACAAATTGTGGACGGACTATCGGATAGGGGCGACAGCATAATATGTCCACATGAAAATGTGGGTGCATAAAAATTCTTTAAATATTACTAACTGTTCGCATTTTTATTGAATAAGTTTGATTTCCATGGACCACTATTTATCCCTCCTCGACCTGAATAACACAAAATCACAATGTACTATTAAAATAATAACAAATATTTGACTGGGAACATAATATACATACAGAAAAATTAAATATTACCCAGACTTCGGTATAAGATATGTTTTGTTTATTTCTGATGTTGCACTACATTGAAATCGGACACATTTCTTTTGATGTCAGCATTCAAATTTCATGAGGTGACCAATTAAATTATTTGTATCAATTCAGGGCTGTCTTGTCAAACTAAACCCTAATAATGGGTTGGAATAAAATAGTAGCCCTCATGTCAACTATCAACCATGGAATATTTGAGTAAATCTTTCTTGGTTCATTAATCTAGCAACTGTTAAAGTTAGGCAATAAATTAAATAAAATCTTGTCTTCCGAGTCCGCCAATTTGCAATACTTTCTATTTAGTGTGTGTAGGGATGAGCTATAATGTCTAACGAACTGTTGACAGAACAATATAATCTAATTGCAATCCAATCAAAACAGATCTAAATTTAGTTTTTTAAGACTTTCAATGACCTGCTCTTCATCATCATATACTTAGATCTGACAAGTAGACTAGGGACATCACCACTGCTTAAATATTATGCCAATCCTATGAAATGGTCATCATCCAGTAACTAAAGTGTTGTTTGAATTTGGTGCAAAATCAAATGAATTGAAATTGTATGGAGTCTTTGAGAAAGCAATCAAAAATATTTCAAATCATCATAAAACATACCATATTTGTTATCCATTATATTACGGCCTCGAACTGCGCCTCCACCGCCTCGACCCTGATTATTTCTTATATTTTTGTCCTGGGGTGAGACCTTTGCTGGTGGTTTGGAGTCTCTGGGATCAGCTCCCACTAACTGAGCTCGGAAGTTAGCTCTAGCTACTTCTAAATCTTTCCTGGTTCTTCGTTCAGCACCTAGTTTTATATCACCGGCCCTGGTATCGTGCTAAGAAGGAAAATTTAATAAATAAATATAAATAAAATATTTTCCATAAATCTTTAGTGCCACTCAGAACTAGATGACATAAAAAACCAATACACTTTCATGGTATTAGACATTCTCCGAAACACTAACATTATGGGTAACAGATTTTGAAAACTATACATTACAAAGTCATTTAACCTGTTTTATTATATTTTTTTTAATACTTAACAATTGCTTTTCTGTTTTGTTAACTGTGACTGTGCTAAAATTTTATTCTACCAGGTAAACTTTGTTTGGGGAATGAAATGGTGTGAAAATTTCGATGAATTTGAAATAGGGGTTTGCTGCATTATATATTTTTGAATATCGGAAAGGTCAAGTATGTATTGAGTATAGCCCATAATTGTCTAATTTGCCTGTTCCCATAACGATGTAAGTACATTCCATTAATTTCATTTTTCAAAATAAATATTTTTATCACTTGCGATTTCTTTCAGATAAATGAAGCAACATTTATTTGAGAGAATCACAAATAAAAATGATTTTTTAAAATTTTGCCGTTGGTGTCTACAAAGAAATTAACCAAAAATCTGAAATGGGTACTGGTATATATATAACTATCTGGAATAGAGCACCTGCAAAAGTCAAATGGAGAGAGCAACTGTGATTGTGTGTTAGTAAGAGGTAAAGGGTTTAGGTTCAATACCACTCAATGTTTTCTTATTTACGAGTGTTTAGCAACAAAGTTTGTAACCAGCGGCTGCTAGGCCCACATTTTGCAAGAGATGGATAGAGAACAAGCTAAAAAAAACTCAGGATTTTTTGTACAATCAGGGGCAATAATCCAGATAGTTATGGTCTTTGTCCAAAAGTTTTGGCCCAATTTTCACAAAATTTGAACTCAATGAACATTACGGTGTAACAGTGATATATTCGAACGTTTCTTTTAAATCGGATAATAATTGTGACCTCTAGAGGTACAAGCTAAAATTATGATTTCTCTACAATCAGGGGCCAATATTCAGGAAGTTACTATCCGATATGCCCGAATATCTAAAGGAACCAAGATCTTTGGGTTATAAACATGCATTTCAAGTTTCATCAAAATCAAATCAAAATTGTGACCTCTAGAGGGTCTACAACTTTGATATACCAGATGTTTACACTAATTGTGTACGAGTGGCGGCCATTTTGTCCCGCAGTTTTGGTCCAATTTTCACGAAATTCAAACTCAACCAAAATTACGGTGTAACAGTGATATATTTGAACATTTTTTGAAATCGGATAATAATTGTGACATCTAGAGGGACCTCAAGCTAAAAACGTGATTTTTCGTACAATCAGGGGCCATAATTCAGGAAGTTACTATCCGATATGCGCGATTATCGAAAGGAACCAAGATCTTTGGGTTATAAACTTACTTTTCAAGTTTCATCAAAATCAGAACAAAATTGTAACCACTAGAGGGCCCCACAACATTGATATACCATCCTTAGGGTGTAACGGTGATATATTCAAACGTTTTTTTAAATCGGATAAAAATCATGACCTCTATAGGGTCCACAAGCTAAAAACATGATTTTTCGTACAATCAGGAGCCATAATTCAGGAAGTTACGGATAAAACTAATTTACATATCAGTTAGTTTTGTTTCATTTGTGTATAACAAAATTTACAAAGCAATTCAAAAATTGATTCAGAAACTTTTCAATGTGTATATCCCTCCATCCAAATTATTGTATCTAAACTTGACAGACACCTAATAGATGACACAATAGATTCATGAATGGGACTTTCATTTTCAAGAAGTTTACTCCAACTTCATTGCCAGCATAATTATGTCTCGCATTAAATCAGTCATCTCTACATGTACATCACAGCATCTACTTCTACGACGTCTTGGCACACAAAAGTTGTGTGTCACTGAGAACATGATTCTTCAACATCTTCCACGGGGGGGTATTTATATCTTTAGTCTTTCCACAGTCATCAAAAATGTCTTGACACAATAATTCATGTACCTCAAGCAATTGACATCTAATGTCTAGTTTATCATTTTATGATTTTTCTCATCTGGATTCAAGACCAAAATATCTTCTGATTTCTTCTTGATACATTTGCCAAGCAACAGATAAAACTTTGAATTCCTATCCATAAACTTACAATTTTCATTAAAAGTTATTGCATAATGATTTAAATTGAACTTCAATTTTCAATCTGTTCTTTGTCTAATAAACCCATTTTTTTTTTTTTTTTTAAAAATCATGCAATTTAGAAATGAAATGAGGTTTGACTTCTTACGGTTCTGCTCCGACTGGGCTAATGAAGACGGGCATACGCCATACAGTGTGCTATGAGTTTATGAGGGAAATTTTGCCTGGAAAGCAGCGCTACAGCCTTCTTTTATATCAAATTTCAACCGTCAAGGGATCTTTAACATGTATGCCAAAGTGTACAAGGACCTATACGTTGACGCTTGCCAGTCCATTGGTATTGAACCACCAACAAGGAGAAACCACCCAGGAGAAATCATCCCAGAATATCCTGATATACTTTCTCAGATAACACAGGGATCAAACACAGGACCTCTAGGTTAGCAAGCCAACGTCTTACCCACTGAGCCACCATGGCTCCTAAGCAATTTAGAAGAGTACACTGCAGATATAATTAATTTTTTCATTCAAACAAAATTATAAAATGTAGTCTTCCAAAACAATTAACAGGTATGAATTCATAAGAGTATGTGGGGTTTTTTTCTGTTGTAGGCTGAATACAGTTATCATGGCCAAAAAGACAAATATACTGACACATGATTTAGACGAAATGAAATGAAATTTAACATCTACTAATGAGCAGAGAGAAATAAACTGGGTTCAGTGTACCATTACCAAGCTGAACAGAGCTAGGTTATTTTGGGACTAACATACAGCACTGTTTTATTTGCAAGGCTTTTTTTTTAGTAGTGCAATAGAAGGAAAGAAAACAAGGTTATGGATTACCCCATTGGTGGATCTCCATTATCTAAACAGCAAAATGTGTTGACATCATTCCCAATGAGAAATATGTGAACTTTAAACTTTGAAACATAACCCAAAAATAAAAATTTCAACTGTGTGACTTTATTAATAAAAAAATCAAAACAACCAAAGAAACAAAACAATAAAACAATTTTATGAAATTTAACTCGGATCATTTTCTTCGAGAAGAGAGAGAGAGAGAGAGAGAGAGAGAGAGAGAGAGAGAGAGGTGGGTTTTATCATTCACCAACACTAAGTCCCACTAAGAAATAATGAACATCTAATAAGCAATGTGGTGGGGAAACCCAACCAGCGGCTGCCAGGCAGGATATGTCCACATTTTGCAAGAGATGGATAGAGAACAAGCTAAAAACAAAAACGATTTTTTGTACAATCTGGGGTCATAAATCCAGAAAGTTATGGTCTGAAATGCGCAAATATCAAAAGGGACTGAGATCTTTGGAATATAAAGATATGCTTTAAGTTCGATAAAAAATGGATAAAAATTGTGACCTCTCGAGGGTCCATAACCTTTGTTTTACATACTTATACACAATTTGCGTACAAGAAAAGCCATGTTGTCGGGCAGTTTCATTTTGATTTTCCAGAAATTCCAATTCAACCTTCATTATGGTAGAATGGTGATATATCTAAACCGTTTTTAAAATCTGAAAAAAAATTGTGACCTCTAGAGAATACACAAGCTAAAATGCGATTTTTCGACCAAACTGGGGCCATAATCCAGGAAGTTAGGTTTGGATATGTGGGATTATCAAAAGGAACCAAGATCTTTATGATAAAAACATATTTAAAGTTTCATCCAAATCGGATTAAAATTGTGACCTCTACAGGGTTCAAAATCTTGATATACCATATTTTTACATTATTCACGTACAAGCGGCAGCAATTTGTCTGGCAGTTTTGGTCTGATTTTCCTGAAATTCGTACTCAGCCTTCATTACGGTGTAATGGTGATATAATCAAACGGTTTTGAAAATCGGAAAATAATTGTGACCTCCAGAGGGACCACAAGCTAAAATAGCTGATTTTTCGTACAATCAGGGGCCATAATTCAGGAAGTTACAATCCGATATGCGCAAATATTGAAAGGAACCAAGATCTTTGGGTTATAAACATGCATTTCAATTTTCTTAAAAATCGGTTAAAAATTGTGACCTCTATAGGGTCCACAAGCTAAAAACATGATTTTTCATACAATCAGGGGCATAACCCATGAAGTTTTGATCCGATACATGCCAATATCAAAAGCAACCGAGATCTTTTGGAGATAAACCTATACTTCAAGTTTCGTCAAAATCGGATAAGAATTGTGATGGACAGGGGCGACGACAATATACGTCCACATGAAAATATGGGCGTATAAAAATGATCCCTGTATCCATTCATAATAACAAATCAACTTAAAATTAGACAGAAAATAAAAATCATTATCTTTGAACATAAATATAAATAGGAATCAATTAAATCTATGGCAAGCTCTATAGACTCTAAAGCACCAAACCCATCAAATCAAAAATTAAATCTAAGTTACACTTGATCAAAATCTCCTAACTGAAAATTGGTAATTAGCTTCTTTCACCTATCTTAACAGCACTGTGTGAAAGTAATCAAAGTCCTCGGCATTTTGTGTAATTCAATATTCAAACAGCTTACCAGTAGTTTTTATTTAAGGTGTTTGAGGTTTGAGGGTATACAAGATAGCATTACTGATACATAAGACTAACAAATTCTGGAGACAACTGTATTGTCCAAAGGTTCCCATTTAAATATGTCACTGCTATTGAGGTATTAGACTTAACTGCAATCAGCATGTTGTTTTCACTTATTTATGTCAAATTTCTGGACTAGCCTACAAAAAAGTTACCGGTTAGCTTTGTATAAAATAGTTATACTTCTCCTCAAGATAACAACCAATTGTTCTTTCAAACCCAACTCCATCATTAAAAATAATTTTTAATCTGTACAAATCTCCACAAAACACTTTAGCCCCCTAATGAAAATTTTGGCGTCTCTTTACTCTGTCAAAGCTTTCAAGAGACTTAATCTCATCATATAAAAAATCCAAAAAAATTCTGATTTTGATCTTCAAATCACATTCTTTTCTGGACTTGTCTGAATTTTTAAAAGAAAAAAAAATTATCACTGACTTCATCTCATCAAAACAAAATGTCAACATGACAATGTCTTGCTTTAAGCAATCGGCGATAGTACCAGACAAGTACACTGATTCTGAAATGTTAATTTAAAATTTTCTGTTTTTAACCAATCTTTGGTTTACCTTCTGAATGTTGTGGTGTACATCACTGTCATTACTTTTATTATCTTCCTGTGTGTCATAATCATGAGTCACTGCATCTTTAGTGTTTGCCGTGGATCCTAGATTTCTGGTTTCTAACTTAAGGTCAAAGGGCATCAGCATGGCTTCCAGACGAGTAAATCTGTCAATGACTAAATTCCAACTCTTCCAATCTTTTGGAGGTCGTAGTTTGACTTTATTGAGCATGACACCAAGGCATGTAGAGCCATCAACAGTTTTCAGGGTGTTCCAGAAGTTCGGATTAAAGCAGATTCCTTTGATGAATTCATTCTCTGTGTAGAAATTAAAGCTAAAATGTTCTATTTTCTTCTTAAATCCAACAGAATTCTCTGATACATTAGAAACGTAACCCTTGATGGACCGGATAATTATTGCTTTACCTGAAGACTAAAAGACAAAAAATAATTCAATGTAATCAAGTTAGTAACAGACCAATTATCATGTTTAAACAAACAAGTATTTTTAAAAATTCAATAACCTTACATAAAATCCAAATTAGGAAAATTACATCTAAACGCCTTTAGGAGAAAATGTTGAGAGTCAAAACTAATCTATTTATGCATTTGGTCATTCACTAAGTAGAAATTTAAGATTCATATATAAGTTTTACACAGAAAAATGACCTGAGCATCATTCTAAAAAGATTATACATACATTTTATAGCACTTATATTATGCAAATGTTTTTGCTGTTTTTAATACTCCAATTTATCGAGGTCATGCATAAGTGAACAACAAGAAATTCATTTGCATTCAGGGTAAATTCTGAACCTGGATAACAGTTGTGAATTGCATTACTCAAAGATATTGTCACTGTAATTAACCATGGTCTAATATGTCCTTCAAAAGAAACATTTCAATTGACAGTTCAGTTCATAAAGCTTACTAATGCTGTTGTTTGGAATTTGCAAATAAATTGATTGATGATTGTCAGTCTATCCTGGTAAATGACAAGGTATATTTTACATCTTTTATCAGAACTATCCTTTAAATTCCCTCTAAGATTTAGCACACACCCTAAGTTCTGAAATACATCAACGTAAAATGTAGGTAAATTTGGGAGGACAAGTATCTAATGACCCAAGTATATATAATAATGTCATCTTGCTAATCTGGTAACAATTCTTGAATGCTTCTCATCTGATTACCGGTAATTGTTTATTCTGATGTTTATGATATCAATCCAAGTTTATCAATTTACTGAATAACCAGTTGTATCCATTCATAAAATTAGTGAAGATTTTCTTAAACTCTCATTGCTATGGACATGTTCAAAACGAATACTTTTTTTTTTTGTTGAATAAATTTCACAAGCATATCACCTGTTGATTTCCACATACAATTCAAGTCAGGGCTTTTTTTAGATTTACAAAAAAAGAGTTGTTCCTTTTTGACGGATATAATACAGGATACGAGGAAGTAAAACAGCTTCTTTGACATTTTTTTCTTCTATTTGACATATTTATTTCTTCTATTTGACATAATATTTTTCTTCTATTTGACATTTTTCTTTCTTCTAAATAACACTTCTAAATTCAGAAATAGTTCTGCTTTATTTGACATATTTATTTCTTCTATTTGACAAATTTTTTCTCTACTATTTGACATAATATTTGTTTCTCTTCTTTTTGACATATTTATTTCTTCTAAATAACACTTCTAAATTCAGAAATAGTTCTGCTTCTGAACAAGGATCAAAAAACAGCCAATGTCTAGGTTTATTTCTTCTTTTGGTTGGACAATGCCTTTTGCATTGGTCTACTTGGAAACCGATCAAGTCATTCATCTGAATACAAAACATTCTGTAGATCCTTTTGGTGCATCATTCGTATTTGTATCTAATGTAAGCTATCAGTAACACAACTATCATGCATTCTGGACTTAACGGAGAATGCTATAGTAAAGTATAATTTTATCATTTACTTAGTTCATTGTGTAGCGCATTTCAAAATTATTTCTTTTATAAAAAAAAATAGAGTTTTAGTAACATATAACATTAAACTAAATCATGGGACATGATGTAAAAGGCGACATATTAGGGCTGGCAAAAATATCGATAGAGCGATAATCGTCGGCGACTACAGGAAAATATCGATATTGATATTCAGTTCTTGATATCAATACTTGTGTCAAGAATAAAGCAGCTTCAATAAAATGAAATTAACAGAATATTTTGCGTCAAATAATCAAGGTCATATTCTAAAAAAGTTAAAACTAAAAAAATACACACTAAGTAGTAAGTACGGTAAATCACCGCGCCGGTAATTTTTGCGGTCGTTTACAACAATGACAATGAATAATTAATTAATTGTTCAGGGGAAATAACTTGATTTTAATAGAAATTTATTTATTGTTATAAGCGTCCCCCAAAAATTGTCAACAGTGATTGTTGGCGAGCGCGAAGCTGCGAATACTATTTTGTTAATAACCCCATCCGATAAGTTGTGAACGAAACAAACATTAAGAAAACATAGTTTGAGGATCATAGGTTTTTTTTAATTGATCAATAACACATTTAAATGTATTATTAGCATACAAACAGTTATTTCTTTCAACTTCAAATTTTCCGATATATCGATATTGCCGAAATGGTTGCCAATATCGATATTTGAAATCGGCATCGATTGCCAGCCCTACGACATATGTGTAGCAGTTAATGTATATTTCAATATAGCATTGGTAGAAAGAGAGAACAATCGCTGCAGGCTATGTTCAGATTAGGTCAGAGTACCTTGTCTTAGCACAATTCTTTGATTCTTGATAAATTTTCACTTCATTTATAGATGTTCATCGGCGAAAATATACCTTACCTTACCCTAGCCATAATGTAGTATGGTATTATATGCTCTAGCCTACTTTTTTTGAGCAACAACTGAAAAACGAGGGTCATGTATAATAGGCCTATTGCTGAAAAAATTTCTATCACACTCATTTACCTAGTTAAATCGATGGACATCCTATTCCTATATCTATGACTATCTATAATCGACTGCAAAATCATTGACAAAGGCCTACATCTACTACTGATGCTTCGAAATGGGAATATTAATTTACATTAGTATTTAGGCTACCTAGCTGTGGTGTTTACATTTCATTGCTATGGTTACATCAGTCATTTCTATTGCTAGATTTTGAAAGCATATCGGTTTCACAGTTTTAACAAAGAAAGATAACATTACTGCTATATCTTAATCGACATAATAATATTATCAACATTTCACTGGTCAGTAGACTTTAGTACTGAGGCCAGGGCCGAGTACTTACCTTGGATGCACGTCGCTTCCTGTTAGCCCCTCGAGTCGCAGCTGATCTGTCAACACTTCACGAACAATGTGGGCATGGCATCTGGCTCGAGTTTCGCTCTTGGGTTTTCATATCCCAGTTCCTTCAATTGAGCAGGATTGCTCCGAATAAAGAGAAGCATGTTTTGATCAAATTGATGGAGACCAGCCCTTCTCGCCTCGTTGACATCGCTGTGTCCAGACCTTTGGAAATTTTTTAAAAAATGGCATGTGCTTCCTGATTTATTGTTGGTGCTATTAGTACATCCCCAAGCAAAGCAATTGACCATGTTTATGCTTCCAGTTAGTCAAAATAACAGGATGCAGTGCTCAGTTGCAATAACCTTCTATAGGAAAATTCATAACGCCCGTCGTCTTTGACATCACCCACGGCAAAAATCAAAACGAGGCTGCACATATGCATAAATGCCAATTCAGGTTTTTTGGTATATTTTTCCTTTGTAAAAATTATTCAGAATGACTTTTAAAATTTTACAGGGCTAAAATTATTCTAATATTAATGTTATTTTCTATATTAAAACAACTTTTTGTGGTAGAATTCTCCTTTAAACCGAAATATAACAAACTAGTAGTCACTTTTAATTTTAAGTTGGGGATTTTTCTATCATAAATTTATTAATTTTACCTTTGTCGTAGTGCAATCTCTGCTTACAATTTCAGTCCAAATATTTGTTTCATATGGAATTGATACTTTTACAATTCGGGACCACAGAATTTCTCTACCCTGATATTTGTGAATATATCTATAAATTTGTCCATAAAATCTATTTCATGAAGCTGTTTATTGTCTACAATTCTTTGCTGTTAGTGTTTGTTGCCTGGAAATGTCTCTGAAGAATATGCTATAAATTCGATAAAAATAAATAATATTACTGTAAACGTCTACAATCCTTTGTGATGATCATATATTTTTCTGCAGCTTGATGTAATGTAAGGATTTCTACAACTTTGATTTTTGTTATGTTGTCTCTATCTGGACATCTATTTCCTTTAGCAGCTTATGTTTACAAACCTTGATAGAAAAAAAACTCCAAAACTGTGACATATGGCATTGTTATTTTCCCATATTATCCTTATAACTGTCTGTGTTTACAATCCTTCATTGTACAAAATGCTCTTGGTGTCCTGATCAGTTCCTGGCCTTGTCGAAATTTAGCTGTCAGAGAAAAGATCGAACAGGTCTATTACATAAAACATTTCCTTTTGCAACATACATTTCAGACCTGGTACTTTTCAGTTTTTTGACATTGAGAGACATCATGTCAATCGAAGCAATCATCTGTTCAATGCAAAATTAACGCGATGTTTTATCACATTTATCTTCTTTCTAATAAATAGCATGTTGATGTAAGTAAGACTTCTGGTCAAGATTTGCTTATTGCTTCTAGAAAATCACTGGTTACCTTTAATTCTGTGGTTCTCTATGGTGATTATTTTCATCATTCTGATCTGCAACCACAATTGTGCATGAGACAGGGTATGCGGTACTGCTTCCTGAAATCATGATACCACATGAAGGGGATGTTGCCTAGTGGTTAGTTTTCCTGTCTGACAGATTGAATATTCATTGTTTTGTTGTTGGCAAAATTAGGATTCACTGCTATTTATTTCATATCTATCAAAGATGCCATGTACTCTTTATCCCATCTGATTTTGTTGAACAGCTTTTCAGTACTGTTTAATAGTATACAGTTGTTCTCTTACAGCAACTGTAAACAAGTATTAAAATGTATGAAGGGAAAAAACTGCCTCTTTGTTTCTTGGGATCTGAAAAGGGGGTTTTATCTTTCATTATTACCTGATAATAGCTGATGCCTTTCGGTATATATGATGCGATGTCCTGCCACAGCTCGTACTTATTCTTATCTGGAAAAAAAATATTTAAATGAAGAAATTCATATTCAACAGATTGTAAAAATTGAAAAATACCATTGAGCAAGTCATATTTTCACCATTTAGTCTTCTTCTGTACTGAAAATTAATCTTCATGTGGTCACAATAGGTCTTCTCTATTGAACAATATAAGGACATGCTACATGTATGTCACATAGAGTATAATGCACTAAAAGTTAAGATGATATTAAAAATAACACAAAAAAATAAAAATAACACAAAAAAATAAAAATAACACAAAAAAATCTTTAATCACAGAAATAAACCAAACAGACAATTTCAGATATATCCAAATAGTTTTCAAACTAATAAGTGTCACCAATCAGTTAAATCTAAGAAAATTTAAAAATTTGAATAATTACACAAGTAACTCTTGTAGTAATGTAAGTAAAAGCTTATACATAGATGAATAATAATTAAATAAACAATTGCAAAGAAATTATTATACAACAAACAGAATACAAATTTCTTTAATTTGTAGACCATTTTGATCATCTACACAATCTTCCCGACTTGCAATACCCCTTTCTTAGAATCTTTTTAAATCTCCTGGATAACCATCTTTACAAAAATCTGTAGAGCTATTGTTAACATTAACTTCTTCTAGGCAGTATGGAATCCTCACACGCGGAAATCATTTGAACCTGTTAAATCCTCCACCTTAGAATCTTCATAAAAATCTTTTTTTTTAAAAAGTTCCAGTTCTTCTGATGTTTTCTAGAACCTCTGAATTCTTTTTAAATCATAGGCTTCATCAGTATCTGTAAATCAGTTCTCCAGAATCTCTAGCTCGATTTCTTTTAAAAGCTTAATTTCTTGCAGGAACTCTTTAAACTTAAGAATACTTCTCTGTACATGTATCTGTAAATTAGTTCTCCAGATAATTCATAATCATTCAGAATCTGTTACACAATCTGTAGACATCTTGTAGTCTTTTTATCTGTGGCTATTTCTTAGTAACTATTATCTGTAGAATCTTCCAGAGCTTGCCGGTATAGACATCCAGCAAAATCTGTGAGGACAGATGTCTTCAATAGATTTTTTACATGAAATATGAACATATTCTACTGTCAGTTGACATTCAGAACCTCTATGATGGAAGACTTAATATTAGAGCTTTAGTGTACACTGTCATACAATTTCTTCTCTTAAGTCTCTAGTTAGAACTGAAACAAAATATGAAGAGCTCTTTTCCAAAATATTTTATAACCAACAAATGATTACTTTTTCTATGTGTGCAGTGCTGAGGAGGATAATTTGTGGGCAGGTTAAATGAATAAATTATTTTGAATCAATATTACATTTATGCTCTTAAATAACAGAACATAATAAACAGAAAAAAAATCTTTTCAAAAAGGTAAGATTTAAATCACTATTCATGTTTAGAAAAAGAGTTCTTCATATGTAACAAAACATCTTCCAGTACTGGTAGATTTCAAAAATTGATCAGCGTTCTCATAAATTCAATTCATCAATGTACCAGAAAGGCTATATCAATAAACTGTAAATTGTTTGCAGATTTCCAAATTTTTTCATCATTGTTCAACTGCTTCCACGGTCCTTTTAATGTTTTCAAAAATGTGTAGTTTCCTTTCAGAATTTGTTGATACCTCTGACAGCAATTAAACTGTAGACTTGTGGATTTTTTCATTCCCTGCTTGTTTGCTTTGTTAAAACTTCTCTAATTCTCTTAAGTGCCTTCTAGAAATGGTACCATAAACATATTTCATATTAAGTGTCGCTTCTTCCAAGTCTCTGGACCTGTACAATTATCTATGAACTTCTTCCAAAATCTGCTCTTCCAGAATATTTGAACTTCATCCATGATCTGTTACCTTCTTACAGAATCAGTACATGTCTTCAATATGTATGCTCCTTTAATAACAGTATTCTTGCAGATTTTCTTCAGGATTAGTAGACTTCTCGCAGATCTCCTTTGGGATCCGTAGTCTTCTTGTTGATTTCTTTCAGGATCAGTATTCTTCTGTAGATTTCCTTCAGGATCAGCATTCTTCTCTTGTCATTTCCTTGAGGATCAGTATTCTTCTTGTGGATTTCCTTTAGAATCAGTATTCTTGTAGATTTCCATTGAGATCAGTATCCTTGTAGATTTCCATTGGGATCAGTATCCTTGTAAATTTCCTTGAGGATTAGTAGTCTTCTTGTAGATTTCATTCAGGATCAGTAGTCTTCTTGTAGATTTCCTTGAGGATCAGCATTCTCCTCTTGTTGATTTCCTTGGGGATCAGTAGTCTTCTTGTAGATTTCCTTGAGGTTCAGTATTCTTCTTGTAGATTCCCTTTGGGATCAGTATCCTTGTAAATTTCCTTCGGGATCAGTATTCTTGCAGATTTCCTTGAGGTGCAGTATTTTTCTCTTCTTGTAGATTTCCTTCAGGATCAGGATTCTTCATGTAGATTTCTTTGGGATCAGTATTCTTGTAGATTTCCTCTTCTCTCCTTGTATATTTCCTTTGGGATCAATATTTTTCTCTCCTTGTAGATTTCCTTCGGGATCAGTATTCTTCTTGTAAATTTCCTTTAGGGTCAGTATTCGTACCTTCTAGTAGATTTCCTTCAGGATCAGTTTTCTTCTCTTCTTATCAATTCTCTTAAGGATCAGTAATCTTCTTGTAGATTTCCTTCAGAATCAGTACCGGGTATTCTTCTCTTCTTGTAGATTTCTATCAGGGTCAGTATTCTTCCTGTAGATTTTCTTCAAGATCAGTATTCTTGCAGATTCCCTTTGGGATCAGTATCCTTGTAAATTTCCTTGAGGATTAGTAGTCTTCTAGTAGATTTGGTTCAGGATCAGTATTCTTCTCTTCTTATCAATTCTGTTAAGGATCAGTAATCTTCTTGTAGATTTCCTTCAGAATCAGTATTCTTCTCTTCTTGTAGATTTCCTTCACTTTCAGTATTCTTGTAGATTTTCTTCAAGGTCAGTATTCTTGCAGATTCCCTTTGGGATCAGTATCCATGTATATTTCCTTGAGGATTAGTAGTCTTCTTGTAGATTTCCTTTCAGGATCAGTATTCTTCCTGTAGATTTCCTTTGGGGTCAGCATTCTTCTCTTCTTGTAGATTTCCTTCAGGATCAGTATTCTTCTTGTGGATTTTATTTAGGATCAGTATTCTTGTAGATTTACATGTACCTCGAGATCAGTATCCTTGTAGATTTCCTTCAGGATCAGTATCCTTGTAGATTTCCTTCAGGATCAGTATCCTTTTAGTAGACATCTTATGGGATCAGCATTCTTGTAAATTCCATTCTGGATAGGCATTCTTTTTGCAGATTTGCTTAAGATTTTGTACATAAATTCTGTAGATATCTATAAAATTTTAAAGAGCTCTTCCAGATTCTGTAAATTTCTTCCATAATCTGTTGATTTCTTCCAAGATTTGCAAACTTCTTTCAAACAATGTAAACTTCTTATTTGTAGACTTTTTATGGGGTTAATTGACTATCAAGCTTGCATTGATTTTGCATATAAAGTTAATTTTATCACGATTTTTTCCAGAAGACTTTTTCAAAAAATGGGGTGTAACATCCAATTTTTCTACATTTTGGGGGTAAATTGTTAATACTTCTTGCTATCTCTTTATCGTTAAAGTTTATCTTTTTTTATACAGTTAATGTCTTTTTGTTCCTTATTTATTCGCTAAAATCTTCAATTTACAATCACAATTTTTTTTAAGAATTTGGAAATCTAAACCCTCAGATCTTAAAAATGCTTAAAATTAAACCACAATACTATAAAATAAGTAAACTTCAAAATTTCAAAGCAGTAGGTCATATTTTCTTGTGTGCTTAGGAGATCAATTCAATTTATTTCTAAATATGCACAGAACATGTATTATGCCTTCAGCTTTCAAAAATACAGTAAAACATGAAATTGTTTGATCATGCATTAATCTCTATGACAAACAATGAATCTTTTGACTACTTATCAACAAGTTTATGAAATTAATCAAAGCTCTGGGTTGTTCACAAATTCCAAATTAATTTTACATAAACAATAATTACATGTTGTACAATAAACTTGCAAATGTGTATAAATATATACATGTATAAGAACATAAGTAATATTTGCAATAGACAAATAATTAAATATAAAATATTTTCCATTATCATTAACTACATGTACCATTATACATCAAAAATATCATTATAAATGATAATAAAAAAATCTTTTGTTTTGCATGCTACCCTTTGTTTTAATGTTTGTTCAAGAGTAAATTCCATCATAGTTTGCTATGTTCTGTAGTAACCAATCAATCATACCTCATTTTAGATGCTTGACTACTGTGGGTACATGGGATCATATCTATTTATCTCTATGAATAATTTAAGTTGTTTATGATGATGATAGGCACTAATTTGTAAAGATTGATCAACTTTTTATAACACTATAACACAAGTCTATAGTTGCCCATTAGTCTGAAATGTTAGTTAGAGCTTTAATAATATCTATGAAAATATCTCTTGAAGAGAACAATATGATTCCATGTACTCAGAGTAGTGGTGTATTTAGTGAGATCAGGTTGGTCTATAGAATAAGTATGTACACAGCCTATAATAAAACTCTTTGATTTAGAATAAAATATGTATTGAATCCGGTTGATAGTGTTGGGCTAATGTTAATTTTGACTACAGTCCAACAAAAAATCAGTTATATAGTTATGTTTATCTAAATATGTAAAACTGTGCAAGATAACAGACTGTCATCAGAAAAAGAAATCATTATCTTTTTTTTTATCAAAATCAAAAGAGTTGTATCATTATCTTACTTCTGATTAGATGTGGCTACATGAGATGCATTTCTTAAAGGACTTTATAACACAAAACAATATCAGAAATTCACGAAATTTGCAGCTTTTTAGTTCCTACACAGTTTTCACTTATATGCGGAGGAAGACGACAACAACTCTCGTACAATATGTCCGATGTAGCTGGAGGCTAGTAACTGGAGGACATCCAAACTGGGATCTCAGCAATGCACAAGGGGTTCAGGAAAGCGTTGAAATAAGTCGGTTGGTAGCCCCTCAAACCAGTGAATATAGATGAACTCCTAGTAGGTTTTGAATTGGCCAATTACGTCATAATCTACTAGTATAAATACCGCAGGCTTCGCTTCATTTAACTCATTACTGAGGAAGAACACCTTTAGTCCGAAACGTCTACAAATAAATTCAACTTCAAAACCTACTAGGAGTTCATCTATTTTCACTTATATGTTATAATAATTCAAACTTTTTCTGAAAATGCATGTTACATGTATCCCAACATCAAAGCTTGAAATCTTGACCATGCTGCGTCTATATGCAACTTTAAAGGTCTTTGAATACATGTATAGTTGTATTTCCATTCTTTTACCAATGTGACTCATTTAACCAAAAATCATTAATAAATATTGAAAAATAAAATTTATTAACAGCAATGCATACAATCGGTAATGTCTATATGGGGTAAAGCAAGAAATCACATCTGTATATAAAGAGTTAAAATTCAAAATGATGTACTGGTATATCCATTTTAGTCATTCTGAGTAAAAGATATTTAATGCGCGGCCCATACCACATTTTCCAATAACAAATTCTAAATTTTGACAGTTATTCTATTGGTCTTCCCAAGTAAAGTACAAAAACTAATATTTATAAATCCTTATACTGACCAAAGCTTTATCACTGTGTAATTATCCCAATTTAGGCAGGAATTCAGTCCTTCACGTTTATAAAATTGTGTGGGAGCCATAAAAAGCTTGTGCCAATTTCAAACATGAGAAAAAAACTCCCATTAAAATTTATTCTTAATTATATTACACGAGTAATTCTACATTTTCTTGATTTAAGGAGACAATTTGTATTTATGCTTAAGTATTGTTTAATATTTGGTGAATATGTTTGGTAAATATGGTAAAATCAGAATTATCATCATGGAAACAGATAGCTCAAAAGTATGCAGTTTAAAAAAAAAAACAAAAAAAAAACAACTGAAAATTGTTTATCAATCTCAATATTTAGGCGAACGATTTAGCTGATTTGCAGAAATCTTTAATGACTCCCTCGAAGGAAAGTCGAGGTGCACCAAAAGGAAAAGGAGCTAAAGCGCACCTTAAACGTGAAGGACTGGGAATTGCATGTCACATTAGCTCTCTTTATATACACCTCTAGATTTTCTCTTCACACAATAATATTTTGTTGTGCATATTATCTCATAAAGAATATAATCTGGGATAAAGTATGAATGGATTTCTTGTTTTATAAAGTTATTAATTGTAATATTGTAATGTAAATCTATCATATACTGGTTTAAAGATGGATTATGTGAAGATGACTGTGAAGATGAATTTGTTAGAGTAAAATAAGGATAAATGTATGTGTAGATTAAGTGTCACCTACCTGGACGTCGTGAGAAGTCTGGTAGATCTTTACTATCAGTAACACTATTGTTACGATCTCTTGTCTCTACTAAAATAAAACAACCCAAAATAAAAAAATACACAATAAATACATGTACAACATCACCTTGCCTTACTAAAAGAAATTTTTGTGGTAAAAAACACCACAGACCCAAAACACTGCACAAAAATTATTTTAAGTTGGAAATCTTGTGGAATGTGGTGCCGTGCCACACAGGTACCGGTATATAGGGAGTCAAATATCTTGTGGAACTCTTGTGGTGAAAAACACAACAGACCCAAAACACATAATGAAAATTATTCTAAGTTGAAAATTTTGTTGAATGTGGTACCACACAGGTACATAGGAAGGTCTGAGAAGAAAGTTTTGGAAAAAAAGATTTTTTTTCTTAGTCCAATATCTTGTGGATATTTTTTTTTTCACCACAGAACCGAGTCACTCTATCAGAATTATTCTACATTGTAAGTCGAAAATCTTGTGGAATGTTTTGGAAAACATTCAATTTCTTGTGGAAATCTTGTGGTAAAAAACACCACAGACCCAGACACTCTATGAAAATTTGTGGAATGTGGTACCACACAGGCACATAGGGACGTCTGAGAAGAAACAAAAAATGATTTTTTTTCTAAGTTCAATGTCTTGTGGAACTCTTGTGGTGAAAAACACCAGTCCTAAAAACACTCTTATCAGAATTATTTTAAGTCGAAAATCTTGTGGAATGCATTTTTTTTCAGAAATCCAATATCTTGTGAAACTCTTGTGTTGAAAAGTTCCTCACAAATGCTCCCAAACCTTGCCATATGGCATAGATGCGTTGATCAAATGTAAACGGATGAAAATAATGTATATATTGGAAACATGTCGCTATGATACAGTTTTATGGGAGTATTTGTGCAAATCAAAACGACTAGATTGAAGGAAAAAAAAATCTGAGTGAATCGTACAGGTTAAATTACCTGACATTACGAATTGTTGAAAAAAAATGAGCCGAAGCGAGAGCAGGTCAAATCGAGGCTTCAACAGGCATTGCATCTCTGTCCTTTTTTTTATCATATACAGTGTATTGTCCAATTGGGCATGGTGTATGCATACTGATATACGGACAGAAGGTCAGACTCCTGTGCACATATTAAATAATTGCACATTCATCTTTAGAAATCAAACTGATTATAAAAGTATACACTAAATTTCATCACTCTCCATCAGTTAGAATCAAATTTATCTTGTCTCAATGCATCGAATAATGAAATTGCTTAGCTCTGCTTAGCTTTAGCAGAAAAGCTAATCATTGAACACAGTTAAGATATTCACCTAATAAACATCTACATCAAGTTTAAACATTCTACCTCAATTAAAAGCAGAGTAGTTATGTTCTAAAATCTTGACCAATCAAATTGCTTACTGCTACTTAGCTTAAGCAGAAAATTCTCATCATCGAACATAGTCAAGGTAATGATGTAATGAATCTATACGCAGAGTTTCATCACCCTCACCCAATTAGAACCAAAGTTATTGTGTTCCAAAGTCTCAACCAATCAAATTGCTTATCTCCGCTTAGCCTTGGTGGAAAATGAGCATGATCGAACTCTGTCAAGGCATTCACCTAATAGACACCTACACCCAGTTTGAACATCCTAACTCAATTAGGAGAATTATAGTGTTCAAAGGCCTCCACCAATCAGACTGAGGTCTCTACTTTGCCTAGGGTATTGATGTAATGAAACTATACACTTAGTTTCACCACTATCACTCAATTAGAATCAGAGTTGTCAAGCTCCAAAGTCTCGACCAATAAAATTCCTTATGACTCTACTAACACAGAGCCGGAAATGCTCATTATCGAACTGAGTCATGGTATTATGTGATGAAACTATACACCAAGTTTCATCACTCTCACTTAATTAGAACCACCAAAGTTATTGTGGCCCAAAGTATCAGCCAATCAAATTACTTATTTCTACTTACCCTAAGCAGAAAATGCTCACCTTCTAACAGACCCATTTTAATAGTCCCCTGCTTTCTTTGAAAGGCGGGGAACAAAAAACTGTTAAGACTATTTGGGGAGTTTTAGTTGGGGCTATTTCTAAGATCTATGGTAAAAGTAGGTAATTCGACATTACCTGTGTGCCTGAGACTGGGACAGTAATTGTGTTGCACTTTCAGGATAATCAGTGGTGTGGATAAATATATATATTATTATTATGGTCACTTTGGGGATGCTTGATTGATAACATGAAGCCTTCCAAATTGACAGAAAATCAGTAGAGTACAGATATGATAGGAGTAGAATAAAGATGTATCCCAACACAACAGGCATATTACAAACAAGTATTATTCAGTTGGTGCTAACATTGTCACCAGAAATCGTTTTGTTGACCCAACTGTTTATGGAATTAAATATCTAGTTCTGAATCTTGATCTGACCTCAGTGTCAACCACAATATTTTTATATATATTTATTTTGTTTATATTAAAATATATTACAAATAGCCATGTTATAATGGGAAATATTCTACCAATTTTTGTTGATATGTTTTTAGTGCTTTATGAGAAGATGTTGAAATGGTAATCAGAAAACTGACTGCTGGTACAGAAAAAATTAATATCTCTAGGTCTTTTAAAAATATATACCTTGTCTGTTATCTCTAGATCTTCGTCGACCACGGCTACGACTTCTACTCCGATTTCTCTCACGACTTCTATCACGGCCACGAACGGGGTCACGTTCAGTATCGCGTCGTCTAGCTTCTAATTTCAACCTATACATAATATATAAATTCTATTGTAAACACAACCCCTTTAATAAATGCAAGTCAAAAATAATATTGACTCTACTCTCAAAACTACTAAGTTGTTCAGCACTTGACATATGACCAATTACAAAAAAAAAAATCATGCTAACTAACTAAAACCAGTGGTTGCCAGGCAAGATATGGCCACATTTTGCAAGGGATGGATAGAGAGCAAGCTAAAAACAAAAGTGATTTTTCATACAATCAGGGGCCATAATCCAGAAAGTTATGGTCTGAAATGTGCAAATATCGAAAGGGACTGAGATCTTTGAGATATAAAGATATATTTTTAGTTTCATCATAATCAGATAAAAATTGTGACCTAAGAGGGTCCACAACCTTTGCATTACATACTTTTACACAATTTGCGTACAAAGAGTGGCCATTTTGTCGGCCAGTTTCGTTTCGATTTTCCCGAAAATTATGGTGGAATGGTGATATATTTAAACGTTTATTAAAACTGGATAAAATTTTGATGTCAAGAGAATCCATAAGATAAAAAACACGATTTTTCATACAATCAGGGGCCACAATCCAGGAAGATAGTCTGATATGCGCAAATATCGAAAGAAACAAAGATCTTTGGGTTATTAACAAATATTTCAAGTTACATCAAGCTAAAAACATGATTTTTCATACAATAAGGGGCCATAATCCATGAAGTTATGGTCCGATACATGCCAATATCAAAGGAACCAAGATCTTTGGGAGATAAACCTATACTTCAAGTTTCGTCAAAATCAGATAAAAATTGTGACCTGTAGAGTGTCCACAAACAAATTGTGGACGGATGGACAGGCATCCGGACGGACAGGGGCGACAGCATAATACGTCCACATGAAAATGTGGGGGTATAAAAAAAAAGTTTCTACATACCTGGCATCTTCTTCCTGCCTTTTTGACAGATTATGGCGTAAATCATTTGGGTTCGTAATGATCTTGGCTTGTTTGACCTTGTCACGAAAACTTGGATCTTGTTCATGTAATGAGTCTTGATAGAATCTCTCATACTTTGGGTCTGGTCGCATCTCTAATCTGAAATGCAAAGAGATCAACTAAACCAAACGCAAATTTTAATGTTTTAATGTAACTGATTACTATTCAAGGCATTTTTAATACCCAGCAAACTACAATAATTGAAAAAATGTCAACATTTCATTTAGCATTCTATGCGGGCATAAAAATGGAATATAGTCAAAACAAGTCTACCACGTCCCACCTCTAATTTTTGCTGAAATCTATTAATTGGATGCAATGCTTTATTTTTCTAAAAAGCAATACAGGAATTAGTAGACAAAAATTGTCATGGCAAATGTGAGATACTTACTTAACTTCTGTAGGTCGTTTAGGCGACGGAGATCTTTTAGAGATGTGAATATGACTATAACGTGAACTACTGAAACATAAAATAGAACAATTTATCAATTTATATATGTGACATCATAAATTACTGGTCGTGTTATAACTGAAAATAATTGTTGTGAAAAGACCTAGTTTTTCTGTCTTTCTATCTCTCTATAACTCAAACATTTATTTTCAACTAAACTAAAGAGGTTTATTTCATTTGGTCTAGATACAATACTTATCTTTTTAACATGTCATTAAGTTAATTTGTATCACAGAGCCTGGATGTAGTAATAGAATAAATATATGTAGTCACGTCACGTACATGTAGTTACAACAATATGGCAGCTTGTATTCTGCTTGTCAGGATCACTTAGCTTTTCACCCAAAGATATATGTTCTCAACACTTTCACGCACATAAATTTGAAAAAATTGCTAAGAAGAAGTTACCTGGGTGTTGAAGGAAGAGTAGCTGGTGGTGCCACCTTAATAATTCTCTTCTCAAATTCCACTGTATCATCATGTGGCATGTCGTCAAATCGGAAATACTTTAATTCGGGTCGATCAAACACAGGGCGTCTTCCTGTATCCCTGTTATGTATCATTGAGAACAGAAGGGGATCAAAAACTTTTCGCACAGTCACTGATGCTGATGCTGGTGCGTATGGGTTTCGTTGAATTCCTATTGTGATGTTTTCTTCTATTTTAAACGCACCGTCATCTATAGTCCTAAATCGTTCATCCAAAGTTCTTTTCCTAATTATTAATGGTTCAAATCGACTGATTCCAGTCGTGTCACGAATTATCTTTGGACCTGACTGTACAGGTGATGAGCCAAGTCTGTCCGAAATCGCACGACTTGATGAATACTCAGGAGACATTTTTCTGACAGGTGAACGAGAAAAAGATGGGGCACGTTTGACGTGAGAATCCTCAAATCTTGTTGAAGATGATTTACTTCCATTTCTGTCTTCCCTTTTCCTGAAATACAGATCAAAGTCCATATAATAAGAATATCAGTCCAAAAATGGTTCAATTCTGTACAGTATTTACAAAGATATATTCAAATTAAATTTGTCAACATTCGGCTTTCTATGCTCAAGATGTGAGCTGAGTATGGTCAAAACAGTTAGTGCCACATACAATCTTTGCTAAAATCTTTTGATAGGCCTCTTTTTAATCCTGTTGAATCCAAGCCAGGAGATAATAATACTAATCTTATCTAATAATATCTAATTTTACCTAATAATATATTTCAATAATAATAATAATACCTTATTTTACCTTCTAGTAACAGATTTCAATAATATGAACAGATTTCAATAATATGAACAGATTTCAATAATATGAACAGATTTCATAATAACTAATTTGACCTAATAATATATTTTAATAATGATACCTAATTTTATCTAATATTAATAACACATTTCAATGATTTGAATAATAATAACTAATTTGACCTAATAACAGATTTCAATACCTAATTTCACCTGATAACATATTTCAATAATGATTTCAATAACAATAACTAATTTGACCTAATAACAGATTTCAATATTAATACCTAATTACACATTTCAATAATACATTGTAATATCTAATTTTACCTAATTACACATTTTAATAATAATATGTAATAACAGATTTGAATAATAATACCTAATTTTATTTACTAACAGATTTGAATAATAATACCTAGTTTTATATGTCAACAGTTTTGAATAACAATACCTAGTTTTATATGTCAACAGTTTTGAATAATAATGCCTAATATCGGAGTTTAACCCTTAACCGGTCATTGTCGACTATAGTCACCACAACGTTATACAGCTAAGTGGTCACGGTCGACTAAAGTCGACCACAGCAAGAACCTTTTTTATAAGCCGCTTTGAGTATTTTGTTTCGTATTTAATTGATATGGCCACGCATGCGTGTCAGACAGGAACTTGTCTTGTCAAGGGCATTGAGAAGAACATGTCTTTGTTCAACATTTTTTGACGAAAAAAGTAATTTAACGGTGTCGGGAATGTTAAAGACGCTCAAAGTGGTTGAAATACTTATGAATTATTCCGAATCGGATTATATCGATGACACATTGATTCTCAACACCATATTTCTGATGAAAAGGATTTAGAATGATTTACAGATTATAAGTCAAATGATCCTCAGCAACTTTTTTATTGGTGTCAAGAGTCTATCACTTATAATTATTCGGCAGTAGTCGATTGAAATAGGCATACAAAATATTTCACGTCAGCCTTTATTTAGCCTGACCACTTGACGTCGACTGGTTAAGGGTTAAGAAATAATACCTAATTTTACCTAGGAATAGATGAATCATTTTTTTTATCACTTGTATAACTCAAAGTTTCTACTTTCTTTCTGGGTGGAGATCTGAACAAAAAAAGAATCATAATCTATATTTATTATCAATGTACAATATACCGGGACACAATAAAATCGCACCACTGATTGACAGGAAATGCTGGTAAAATATATTAATGTAGCTGAAATGTGACTGTAGGATGGAAATATATCAACACAAGAAAATAAAATCCAAAGTCAGTAATGCGTGTACATGTACATGTTTAGCAGCCATATAAGCTATGTAAGGTCACCGCATGATAGAGATATCACTCTGAATGAAGTTGTGGAATACTCTGCTACATGTAGTTCCAGTTAAAAAGATTTTGGGACCTCTGGACCCTGGGACGAATGATTTCCAACATTGCCCCACAGTGCTAGACCGGCAGAGCTGGCTGACCATTCGAGGCTTTCATTTATCAATCATTCCACCAAATTCTACTCAATAAATATGAATTACCTCGACTTCCTATCTTTTCTATCATACTTCCTAACAGGGGAACGAGAATTTCTTCGTGGTGAAGAATGTCGTCCTAGTGCAGTATTCCTGCCAACTGTTGCATTACGTCTGAGAGGGGAGCTCCGTCTGACAGGGGAATTTCTTCGAGCTGGAGAACTTCTTCGAGCTGGAGAACTTCTTCTGACTGGAGAACGTGATTTATGCCTAACTGGTGATCTTGATTTGCGACGAACGGGTGATCTTGATTTTCTTCTAATGGGTGACCTTGAGAATCGTCTTACAGGTGATCTTGAAAACCTCCTGACTGGTGATCTAAGTAAAAGAGAGTTGAAAAACAGATTAAGTTGTAGGCTAAATGCTTATATACATTTGTATTGATTGTCATTTGTCAGAAACCAGTAAAAGTACTACATACTGTATATATATGTAGCATAGTTCACAGGTTACAAATTACAATACACCAATAAATTGTGTATTCCAATATTCAGCTCTATTTGCTTTTTTCACGTGGTAAAGTCTGGTTGTAGTTTGGGTGTTAGGGCAGCTAACCCACTTTTATTTGATATACTTTTTTTTTCTCATGGGGTTCTATAAATATCAAATCTAATACCAAGTGTTCAGAAAACAATGAGGTAAGCCGTAAAGATCTATCTTTACTGCACAGGAAGTAAACATGTATATTGCCCTTGTTATATCCCAGAGTGTTGATGATGCACAGAAGATAATAAATGTCCCCAACGGTTCTGAAAATTATTTTATCAGGATAATGGTATTTTAAAGGGTATATTGCTACACTGTGTCATTTACATACACATAACAATTACTCATGATTATTTTTCTCCAAAAAATTAATTTGGATTGTTTGTACTATATCTTTCGACAAACAAATCTAATTAAAAATTCTAATAACTTTAAAAGTCCTAAAAAATGAATGTAAATCAGTTTATGTATGTTATCCCCGTGCATGCCCGAATCTGTCTAATTTTCATTGACTAATCTGTGCAGGGTATATATAATGGATTACTGCACTGATAATCTACCCTGTCATTAAATGTTTCATCTGTTCTGTACATATATTTAGGTGGAAACAGACATTAAATAAAGCTATTTCATACACTGATAATCCGCCTAATCCTACTCAATATTCACTGCGTTAGTTTTATTGGTTTAACAAATTTTGCGACCATCAGTTTACTGGTAAGAGCAATGTGACGCGAAAAGAAAAGTATGATCACATACAATGTAGTTGATTATCTTAAAGGAAGAAGATTTTATTTTTTATTCCTAGAATGCCACTGCCCGATTAACCATCGATTTCATCAAAATCTTCAAAGGGTATGTTGGGTTGCATAAAATAATATTTTTTTATGGGAACAGACCAATTTTTTGCTGCGTCACAGCCCTTTGAAAAAATTGGGCCCACACCATACACATAAACGTATCTAAGGATTTATGTCCATTGTCCACGCAACCAGAATTCGGAAACACGTACAATGCACTTGATAAAATATTTGAAAAACGGTCAATTGTTTATTAAGGTATTTATTTCAACTATACTAAGCTAACATTGATCAGTCACGTGATCAGTTGACGTATAACGAATATTATCTACCAACTCTTATTCTTAGCACATATATACACTAATTATGCAGTGATATTGAAAATTATTTGAAAAATCATTACAGTAAAAAGTCAATAGAGGACAGATCCTATACAGTGTATCTAACATCCTTCTTTGATCCTCAGAACCATTGAGGAGTAATCAGCGCAACGTTGACAATCTGCACACCAGCTTTATAATTGCATATTACAATCTGCCCATGTGCGCGTGCAGGGTCTAATCTGTGCGGACAAAGTGGACTCTTGGCCAGCTGATTGCAATCTGCGCAAGGGGTGAAGATTGCGCCCAACATATACACTTATAATTATATTACATTTTTTTTCCCATTTTCATCCAATTTAAGTTCTTTGCATACACATGTAAAGGTGCTGGCTCCTTATCCAGGTTCGCTTCTGATGTTGGCAGAGAAAGATCCTTATATTTTCAGGTTTGGTTTCTCCTTGTTAGTGGTGCAGGACAGAGGAGCCGACAAGAGAGAGAGAGAAATGGGGTTTAACGTCCACTCGACACAAACTAGGTCATTTCGGGACTAACATATGGTTTAATTTTATTTCAATAATTCGCTTGCGCGTAAGGGTCTTTTAGCAGTGGGTGGAAACCGGAGGACCCGGAGAAAACTCACGAGGTTGGACAGGCGACCACGCCAGTTGACTGATGGAATTTAAATATGAGTATGTGTAGGATGTTAAACTATAAAGCCCATTTCAGTTCACTTTAACTTTAATTTAAATGAATGTTCAGTAGCAGAAGATAATAAGATTGCAAAATTAAGGGGCAAGTCTAATTTCTAAAGATAAATACTTATCTTGTACTGAGAATTTAGATGTCATTAACTGCAGATCAAAAAATGACAGAATACCTCGATTATTTCAATTCCCGGAAAATTAGCAAAAATTGTATGTAACCTTGAATAGAATCTCTATCTTCTACTACTAGGCTAACTACTAGACCTACTCACAAGTGCCTTGGGCCTAGTAGTAGTTTTACATTTGAGCTCTGAGGAGACTGAGGTCCCGTCTCGACAAAAGAAATATTATAAATGTCACATAAACATGTGCAAATCCATCAGAACCTTTATGCATGGTCTTATTACCTGCGTTCGTCTCTTCTAGTATTAGTAAAACGTCCTGCAAAAGGCATTTTCTTCAAATAAATAAAGAAATATCTCAATTTTCTATGAATTCTTAGCACGCACTCATTTTCTTAAGTCAGCCATGTTGGAGTGGATTTTTAACCAATCAAATTTATCATTTTTCTTGCTCCTGAAAAAAAGAGTTGCCTCCCATTACCCGTGTCTGAAGACGCTTTAGAATTAAAATGAAATGTCCTTTTAACGTATGGTATGACTTCTAAGTGGAAATTTACCCGGACAACGAAGTTTCCGCCTACGCTTCGTTAAATTCGAACCACCAAGGGTTCTGTTACACACGACAGCGTGTACACGGGACATCCTTTTTCAAATTATACTTATTTCTGAAACACTAAGAGTAGTAATTAAGAAGACACCCGTCTAAAAAAATCCCACTGTCGTTGCGTCCGAATTCCAACTACCAAGGATTCCTTTACCCACGCCAGCATACGTTTGTTGTTTATTGCTTGGAGTGTCTGTGTAGCTATGTCAACGGCTTTGTGTTAGAAGTATTTAAATAAAGGGGCTTTGTAGGCTACTGAAAACTGCATCGACAAATCGAAAGACTATTTTGATTAATTAGGTAAAAATAAAACGGTTAATTAGGGTAATTATAGTTTATCTGATAATTGTGATAACGGCCTCTGAACGGACGAAGTCATATAGTAGGCCTATTGTATCCGTCCGACGTCTTATAAACATTTAAACAAAAGACGCAAGCCCAATCTCGTAATCGCGGGCTATATTCAAACGTTTATTTATGTTACTTGAAATTGGTCTTGTATTATTATAGATTTGTGTCATATGTGGTGAAGAATGATTCTTTTTGACGAACAAAGAAGAATTACGGGGAAAGATAGAAGGCAAGGTATGCAAAATACCGGTAACCGTAGAACAGAGGTGGGTGTAGAGTGGTCCTATTGCTTATAAATATAATAAGGACGGACAGGAACGGTCAGAGCATTTGTCTACATGTAGGCCTATATCATAACACAAGCTACTCTAAACCATCTTCAATAGAAGGCTTAATCTCGCCTTAACTACGTACATTTTATTGTAAAACTCGCGATCGTTGCTTCAGGAACATGACTCTAAACCTGCTCGGGGGTTGTATGGCCGAATGGTTAGCACGTGTGCGCTGTATCCTAAGGTCTGTCATTGAGTCAACTGATGTGGTTTCCATTCCCCGGTTGTACGTGACAAGGAGTAGGGTCGCCTGACCAACCTCGTGGGTTTTCTCCGGGTCCTACGCACAAGCGAATTATTCAAATAAAATTGAACCATATATTAGTCCCGAAATGACCTAGTTTGTTTCGAGTGGCCGTTAAACCCCATTTCTCTCTCCGCCCCAAACTGGCTTCATACGAACTTGCTCGGATTTATATCCTATTAAAGTTTTCAGATAACAAAACGTTATTCTGTAACAAAATCTTGCTTGACCACCAGGCTTGTATGCGCTAGACCCCGAACACGTTTCAGCACCAGTCGGGCTGATGAAGACTAGCCTGTACCTACGGTGTGTTATGAATGTTTACCGACCTGCCATCAAAGATTCGTTTTCGTGCACTTCTAAATGTGCGCAAGATCTCGGTTTTTCGTACCAGCTGAAGAACTACTTGCCACGCCCCTCCCGTCCTGACCACTGACAATATTGGAAACCACGTTGGAAATTCTCGATGAACTTTCTAGCTCAACTTTTTTGTGAAAGGCGTGTATTGCGTTAAACGGTCAAGTTTTCATGTCAGCAGTATGGGAGTATATAGACGTGGGTTATTAAATTTGGTCTACAAAAGTTTTGCAAAGAAATTAGATAATGGAAATGAAATTAATGAGAAATAAACCTCCCTGCTTTTATGCACCGACTGGGCTAAAAAAGAATGCCATACGCGATATTACAGTGTGCTAGGGGACAGTCGTGCAACGGACTACTCTTTTTTTTCAAATTCCAACCGTCAAGGGTTCTTTTACGTGCACTCCAGCCAGGGCTCACGGGCTCGACGAGAGTTAGGGGGGCAGAACCCGAAATGCCCGAAAAAATTTCGGGTTTACAGACAGCGGCGTCGGTCTTCCTCGAGAGGCGAAGAAACAGAGCTTACCTTGCATGGACCCCCCCCCCCCCCCCAAAGAAAATTTTGGAATATTTGACGGCTGCAAACACGTTTTCCTGCTATTTCAGTCCTTGAACAAAGTGGTCTATTATAGCATAATTAAGATGGCTGACTCGAATTCCAATCAAAAGATCAATCGTTTACAGTCCAACGCGTTTTCCTGCTATTCCAGCCTGTGAATACAGCAACTTCAATTTGGTCCAATATAGCCCACCTGACTGACCCGAATTCCAAACAACCAATCAACCGTCGCGGAGTATGGAGGCCTCCCCCCCCCCCCCCCCCCGGAGAAAATTTTGAAAATTGAACCACCGCATATGCGTTTTCTGCTATTCTAGCCCGTGTAAAAAACTCCAACAGTATCCAATGGTTTTGTAACTTAAATCACATTTTAAATTCCAACCATTCAATCAGACTGTTCACCTGCATTCACAAATAATAATCGATGCCTGAAAAATATCGCACAGAGTAGAGTGGCTCCAGACAAAATGTTTTAATCCATAGTCAACTCAGTACAAATTCGTGGTATTCAATTAAAAGATAAGTAAAATTAGTGTTTTATTAGGGCTCGGTGACAGGGAAGCAAAACTAGAAATGCCCGAAAACATTTCAGGTTTACAGACAGCGGCGCCGTTTTCTTCGAGAGGCGAAAAAGCGGAGCTGATCTTGTAAGGACCCCCCAAGAAAAATGTTGGAATATTTGACGGCCGCAAACGCGTTTTACTGCTATTCCAGCCCGTAAAATTAATTAGTGTTTTATTAGATTTCGGGCACTTCATTTTGCCAAGTTGATGAAATAATTTTTTTTTTTCACTTTACCCGTCTGCCCGAAAAGTCAGCTTGGCCGAAAGTTAGGGGGGCAGCTGCCCCCCTGGCTCGTACGCCTATGACTCCAGCGTATATAGGGCCTACACGTATGTTGAGGTAAATTTTGTCGAGACAGATGCGCCACGGACTAATCTTATTTCAAATTGCCACTGTCAAGGGTTCTTTTACGTGCACTCCAGAGTATACACGGGACGTCAGTTTCGTCCCATACGAACGACTATAGTCGCTGTCCTTGCCAGCCCCAACCCTGCTCTACTGACAAGGCGAAACCGCGCTGGAAAATACTGAGTGAACTTTCTAGGCCAACACCGGATCGAACCCTGGACGTTCTGGATAGTGAGCCATCGCCTACCCATTGGGCCACCGCGGCCCCCATGATTCAAAGGGTCGATGAATAGACCAAAGAAGACGTTGCACATAATAAATTCCACAATCTAGGTAATAATTAGTGAAGTTATTAATATAACCCTGTCTCACGGAACCACCCATACCAAAACAGTGGGAAAAAGACAATAAAAACAACACAAATTTAGATTGAGACGTATAAATATATTCTTATAAGTTATAGTATAATATTAAAAGTAAAAAATAAAATCGTTATTAAGGGGTCTGTGTTGATTTTCAAGTTCACAAAAGTTTATTTCCCTTTCAATTGCAATTTGGTTGCGTTTATTTTAGTTCCGGAATTTAACACACAAAACAAAACGAAACGTAAATAACATCTGACTTTAAGTTCAAATCACTACTGAATTTACTCCAGTCTACCAGTCTCTTTCGCCAGATTCATTACAGCATAAACCTAATTTTGTATTAAAATGGGTGCAGCTACAGATGATTCACAATTTATTTTTTTGTAGCATTGATTTCATGTCTCAACGCCCCCTCCACTCTAAGTCTAAATACACATGGCTTTAGCAAATAAGTAGTCATTAAAAGATATTAACATTAAAACTAACATTACTTTCAATTTAAATCCAGCCTATCAGCGTGGATACATTGATATTTTCAGATCCAGTCTGTAGTTTCAACAATTCTGACTCATGTCCTTGTAAATGAATAAAGGCTTGAGAGTAACCGCCCCTTATTTTTGAATCGTCTCCCACAGCTATAACAAGTCCACCGCACGACCCAGGACATGTGCTAGCTGTGTGAACTAATATATTTTTCTTAATATATTCACTATCCTCCATATCACTGACGTATCCGGGTGTTATAATATCCTTTAAATCACTTCTTGCCACCATTTCTTTTTGAATCTCCGAAAATGCCGTTCCTATGGAAATAGATTTCTGCGTTCCATGCGGATGTGATATAATAAAGGGACGTACGGGAACATCACCACCATTATGCCACAATGCATCACGTTTGGTAAGTTCTCTTTTAATGACCTCAGGAACCGGGTCAAATGATATGATAGTGTCTGTCTCGTCCATGTAGAAAACACCGGTTCCTGCGCTCGGTGGGAGTGAGCCATCTATACAGAACTTAATCTGACAATTTTCTGCCTGGAAGTCCGTATCTATTAATTCTGGATTAGTCATGACGTAATACTCCCCTTCTTCTGTGAAAACTTCCGCCTCTCCTGACCGTAAGTTATCATCCTCGTCAGTCACCGTTACCTCCACCTTGAACCTGTCGATGTCAGGGATATACGACTTACAAATGACCTCGGGTGCTGGGTCAAATGTCATAAGGGTCAACTCCTGGTTATTAGGAAAATCTATGAGACCTGTTCCTTTACTTTTGAACACGCCTTTATAATCTGATGTTTCATAGAAAAAGTCAATATCAGTCTGTGTTGCCATGGTTTCGGAAGGAAGCAACGAACGTGGGACAGCAATGACCTGTTGACCCCTGTACTTGGTAACGACCCCGGTTCCGTACCAAATGTCTAGCTCCGTTACTTTAACTGCAATTCGGACAACTCGTTTTCAACATTGATAATATACTTAAATAAACGATCATTCTGATATTCACTGGGGACATCCTCAGATGTAAATTTATAATACGGTATATATTTCTTATGACCTTCGACTTTGACACACGCATCAGCTTGATACAACGTTCGCTCACATGACGTAGCAACTTCTATTTCAGTCGGGGGTGCAATTCTCTCAACATCCGGTTCAAGTTCAGTATGTTGAGTCAAGGTCACCTGCTCCTGCTTGCCAGGGAAATATGGTATGTATGAGGACAATGTTGAAAACCAGTTACCCATGATATCAGTTCAAACGTCACTGAAAGTAGAAAACAAAATAAATTATAACAAATAAATATACGAAGATGACAAAAAGTAAGAAAAAAACAAACTTCTATATGCAGTACAACTGTACAATAGTATACATGTAGAAGGAACCTTAGAGAAAGCCGGGGCTGGGGACAGGGGATTGAAACCTATATCTTTATTTCAATAATTTGCTCTCTTAGCGGTCTTTAGGGTGGGAAACAAGAGAACCCGGAGAAAACTAACGAAGTTAGGCAGGCGAACCTATTCTGTTCACATACAAGCGTTGACAGACATTATCATCTAAATCGCACGTTATTCAACCTATACAGGAATACAACAAACAATTGACAGGCAAACAGCCGAGGTCGGGGTATTCAAGTGTGGTATTCAACATCTGATCTATACACACATATGTTTACGCCTATTTTCTCGGACAGAATAGGTCACCTAATCTGTTGCATCATTAAAATATCGCTTACTATTCACACCCAATACCAACAAATAAAAATTGTCATTGACATAAGTTTCAAAATGAAAAACATGTAGTGTTGCACATGCCATAGACGCCATTCATAACTTCTTGCAGACGGGCTCAAATGCATCAGAGATAATGAATGACTTTGTCGTGAATGAAACAAAAAGATACCTGACGATGCGGGAGATGTTTCTCGGAAATCCCAGGTAAATGTTCTTTCCAGCCCACGCCCACAGCGATTGTATTTCAAGAAAATATCATGTTAATAAAGTGGCGTTAATAGGGGTGTGACCATTGGGGCAAGTATGCATTTACAGGACACGCCCATTAACTGACTTAATATACCAATATGAGCAGTATAAAATTATAAATGTTTCAATATTTAGCTTCCAATTAACGCAACTTAAACGTACATTTAGATAATTTTGTACCCCTCTCCGTTCAGATATCCTGCACAAGTTATTATTTCAGTACTATCATGTAAGAATTTATCTAAGATCTTATTATTTACTCGCCAGATGTTAGGGTAATATAATATATATTGTATATTATTCAAGTTTTGTTATTTTTATCGTACAGACGTTTGGCTGTCGACCAACCTTCATAGGCCACTATGCTATGGCTGAAATGACCTTTATGGGCAGGACGATTCATCCAATACGGCTAATACTATTCAACACCAACCCAATACTACCTTATCCCCCCCCCCACACACACACACTACCTGCATTCGATTCGTGTCGTGTTAATGGTCAGTTTAAGTCGAAAATAAAATGCCATTTTAAAGCGTCATTTTGACTTCCTAACATCATTTTTTTCTTTTATACACTTCAATGCAATGACACGATGACATCATTTTGACTTTCATAAACTTAAGTTTAAATCCTAAAATTATACTGATGTGCTGTGAAACTATATAAGTAAAATTATCACTGTTTTTGTCTGAGATACATGAAGATGGCGATGTGACATCAATAGAAACCAGCGTAAGCTTGAAATGGCCATACGATTTCAATAATTTTTCAACCATTATATTTGTCAAATAAGTACTTTTGACTATCCTTTGTCTTGAAGTCTATATTTAACCCTTTATTGTGGCACGTTAGTGTCAGCATGTATACTTTATATACGAAAAATGACATAAAAGTTTGAAAAAAAAGAAAAATCTCGACTAGAGAAAAGATGAATATAGGACATTATGTTTAATAGTATTATTATGTTGGGAGTTATCATCAAATTTCATCAAACACTTTGTGGACCCAGCGTTTTATCATTCGAATGAAACATTATCAACCCATCGTGGGCACCGAGATGCTACAGTGAATATGCCCATGGCTTACTTACCAGGTGGTTCAGCAAATTTTTTCCACAACACAATGCACAATTTGGGTGCAGAAATGTACAGGACGTTAAACCCCATTTCATTTATCACCACATTGTATTTACTAAAGATATAAATTAGCTTACATACCTCTCGTCTGATGTTATTTTGACATTAATGTTAAATGAGATATACTAGGGTGTGTAAGGTATTTATATTACATCTAAAGCTTACATTATAACGTTAGTTTTTACCATCAACACAGCTTGCTATATAGATTATATTATCTATACAGATTGGCACTAATGTAATAACTGATTGTCTCTGAAGGCTAAACAGCAGATTGATACCAGCATACATGACTGATTGCCCCTGGATACTAATAGCGTATCAACTAATTAAATGTTAGCATGTCCAGTTATAATCCACCCCACCTCAGTGTATAGACTACTCAATTAGTGGTACGGATTGGCTCTGTCTTAATATACCCACTAGAATAGGTGATTAACTGAATTTAATCCGATGATCTTTATCTAATTGAAAATTAATCACTGATAATCCGATTGTACTGACAGGAACAGCATATTAAAAACGTTACAGATTTATACTCAAACAGTGTTGGCGATATCACCCTAGTTGGAAGTGGACGTAAAGCCCACAGAAGAATAGAAAACGACGAAGGGGATAGAGTTTGACACTGTGGGTGGGGGTAGCTGTTTGGATATACACCTGTCATGGTGGAAAAACATGGAAGACCATTATACGTTCGAGCAATATTTAAGTTATTGTAACTGTATGACAAACCCCTTTCTGTCCGTGTTTTGCGTATCCCTGGAATAAATAGCGCGACCGGGTGGGGGGTATTCTAGTCCCATCAATGCAGTAAAGGGAAGACCATGTATTATCCACCAGCTGCATGCGAAATATCACTGTCACGACCTAGAATACTATCTAGTCTGTTAAGAATGAAGGTTTGACCTGTGTAAAATGTTAGTTTATCACATACAGGTGTAAAGCATGTTTGTACAATACAGGTAATATGTTTTATATAAGTTACTTATATATAATGACAAACAATCAACACATATGTTTATAGTATAAGAAAGAACTAATACGTTAATGGTCTTTGTAAATGTAACAGTTAAAGGAGAAGCACCCGAAATATTTTAGTACATACAATTAAATAGTTCTGTGTGAAAGACTAGTCTTAGCAACCAGTTTGATTAAAATCAGATGTTTTTCAATTTGTTTCTTTAGTTTTGTATTCCGTATTTTATACTTTACAGGACACAATTTTACTCAACAGCCGGCATATTTGATCAAAGTATCGTGTTCTTAGTTGTGTAATGTAAACAGCGAATGGAAACGCAGCTATTTCAATGACGCCAAAGTCGTCTATACTGATCAACCGCTGTATACGTTAATCTCAATAATCCGTGTGTATGATATCTCCACTTCAACAACAACGAATAGGGGAGCGGTTGAGGATGGACAAAATTTGTATACAGTGCCAAAAGTCGTACAGAGATTCTAAAATATAAATATTATGTCTTACGAGTGGTTTAGAGCAAAGATGACCTTTCAGTTTGTATTTTAAATATTCAGTTATCGCATACTTGAACAGCCAGAAATCCATTTACCGCACACGCAATGGTTGCTATTTTGTCCTGGCTAAAATTCGTTATATATAGTGAAGACATTATACACTAGAATGGTCGAGATCAAATATATGTTAGATATGGGTTTAACCGTAGAAATCGAAATGAAATTGGGTTTAAGATCCCGCTTTTCTGCACCTACTGGACTAATGAAAACGGGCGGATGTTGAAGCGAAATAAAGACTTAATTTTAACACGAAACGTTAATTATAGTCGCATACCTCTAACTCGGTGATTCGTTTTCAAAGACATGGCCAGTTTTTTATCCTTTCATTTTTATTCATGAAAGCCCCATAGTTCCAAGTTCCTAGCAGACTGATGGTTTATTTTTTCATGCCAAATGGAATGATGTGCAGACATTGCCAGGAATGTTTGATTATAAAATACCATATCATCTATCAAGACGTAAAGTGAAGTAGAGACTATTAGAATTACCATGATAATGTCAAAGTGAATATATTACAGTATGAAGGGCGTGACGTGTCTAGAAAAATAACACTTAAAGGAAATGAAATGGGGTTTGGTGTGTCTCAACATAATACTTTGGTCATTTTAAGACTAACGTTATCGTAATTATTGTCCTTGCTATGGCTACGCACCTTACCCCAGGCTACCGATCGTGGAATTTGAACTGATAAGCGCATTTTTTGTTATGTGCAACACCGAATGTGTAAAAAAAAAATTATCTGAACAGACTAGCACAATTTCCTTCGACATCACTGTTGACAAGTACAACCGGACTAAGAGTTTTCTCAGCCTACATTCAAGAAGTGTACTTTTCCCCAACAATTAAATACAAAATGATTTTGAGTTTAACGCCCTAGTTTTCTGCAAGACGGGCATACGCGTAGTGATTTATGGTGGAAATCTTGCAGTGTTACGGTCTACTCTTATTTCGAGTTTCACCGGACTAAAAGTTTTCAAGAAGTGTACTTTGCCCCAGCACTTAAATATAAAATGAATTGGAGTTTAACGTTCTACTTTTCTGCAAGACGGGCATACGCGTTGTGATTTATGGTGGAAATCGAGTTTCAATGTGCAATTTGTACACGGAACCTCGGTTATCATACCATTCCGAACGAGTCCACACTCTTTCTTTCCAATGACAAGGGCAGACCATGCTGGAAAATCCAGGGGAAGTCCCTCGGCCAACAATGCGGTCGAACCCGGTACGTCCTGGTTAGTTCTCAAGCGACATACTCAAGAGCCATCGTGATTTCCCCCAGAACTTACAAGAATGCGGCATTTAAAATTTTTTACCATCAATTCGAAAGATACAGTTTACCATCAACTCGAAAGATACAATTCACCATCAACACGAAAGCTGATTATCACGTTTGAGGTTTATAATATGTCAGATCAGCACGACCAATTGTACCATACAAAGTCAGTATCATTCATAAATTAACACAACCAATGTAAGCAAACTAGCACCTGGATTTATCGCACACATCAAAGATATGTTGTTCTTTTACGTCAAGACTCTTCTGTTCTTTTATCACATCATGTATCAAGCAGTATGTTCAACAATAAAGGAGATGACTTTCTCATCCTTG